TGTCCTCTTTAGTTTTCAGTCTGACCCCAGGAACAGACAAAAGACCTCTCCCCAAAGAACTTAAATACTGGTGCAGATGGTACTAAGAGGTCAGAGAGGAACCACTGCCTTTTTTATTGGTTTCTTCCAGCCTGGCCCCAAAGCAAACAATAGGAAGTATACTTCATGGCAGCAACACTTCTTTCGTTCAAAAGAGGGGACAGAGAGGGGACAGAGAGAGGACAAAGAGGGGGCATGTCACCATGGCAAACTGGAAAACAGAGCAATGAATGAAAAGTCAATTGGTGTATTTGAACCCTAACCATGATTATGGCTTTATATACCTAACAAAGAATTTGCTATTGCCTAAACACAGCAAGAATGTAAGCCTGCATTAAAAATCTAGGCAAAAATGAAACATGTTTGAACCAGCCACCTTGCACATGGTGATATGATCTATGGAAGTTTACCCAAAATATACTTTTAAAATTTCCACGAGTAAATTATCAGATAAAAAGATACAACATCCAGTGTAAATACATGAATGCACTTTCAGTATTAACACTATCATATATTCCATGACATTAAGGTAAAACCAGTTACAGAAAAAAATCGTGCTAAAAAAACAACTAAAGTTTGGGTTCAGGTGGTGACACTTCTAGTGGATGTTAAAAACAGCAGCTAATCGTGAGAATTCAACTGGGAGGAGCCACTGATTTTGCATGGGATCACCCCACTTTGCTGTATCCCAAATATCAGTGCTGCCAAATGGAGCTGATTCTGTAGAGATACTGTAAAAACATAACTTCGTGCCTTGGGAAAGCCAGGTAAGAAATCTACAGTCTTCCTTTGATCCACAGTTTCAGGCAGCATCAATATCATTTCCCCCCTAACCACCTCTGCTTTACAACAAGGACTTCCAGTACTATAAAGAAAAACTTGTTCAGATATACAAACAACCAAGTACTACCAGCCAGTCTGGTGGGCTGTGGGAGCCACAGAGCAAGAAACACCGTTGTGAAGAAATCTAACAGCATTACAATACATTACATTAACTTACCTCGTACAAACACAGTAATGGGTCGATACTGGAGATGAGATGACCAAGACGACTTGAGGGATTTCATGATGGGCAGATTTCACAGCATGGGCCGGTTGCCTTGAAAACAGCAAAACTAAAGAGGAGAAAAGACCCACCCCTGTGTCACCATGGCACACGCACCACAACAAACCGCCATCAGTAAACAGGGTTCTGGGGGTTTTAGAAAACGGTTAAACAGCTCACTTTACGGTTCGTCGCTGTTAGAGTAACGTTGAGAGTAAACCGTTAGTAAATGTAAGCTAGTTCTACAGCAGTCACTGCCAGTTTTAGAACTTAGTTGTCGTTACTGTCACTAACTCCTTATTCTCTACAGCAAACCTAAAAAACAAACACTCCGACCTCTTTCAGCTACATTATGTTGACAGGTTAATTCCGACGCAGTTGCACTGCTACACTCATTTCTCCAATAAAAAGAAAAGCTGAATTTTCTGATAATTATAGGGCTAATTATCAACCTTGGACGTTGGAGGAGCGTGGCACTGATTTAGCTGGAAGAACAGTTACTCGAGGCGAACTAAATGGGGAAATGTTAGCCCTGAGCTTATACTTCAGGCATTTTATTCTCTTCTAACCACGTCGTGCACAACTGGGCCTTTTTTTAAAAAAAGGTGATATTGACGACAATGATAACGCTTTCCACCGTAGCCTAAACTTAGTGGTTGAACAAAGGCGTTTGTTGCGACCAGTGAAAACCTGACAGGCAAAAGTGAGGAGCATATTTTTAACATACGCACCCAAAGCTTGAAAGCTTCAACTCAACATCTGAGTGGTGATTGGTTATGATGGTGCTCAGGGGCGGGACTTCTCTTATATCAACATACAAGGGAGGGTGCTGTTCAAACATGAGACCACAAGAGTGCACCGTTGCACATGGTTTAATTTTTTTTCCTCCCATATTTAAAGGCAAGAAAATTGATCTTATTGATACTCCGCACAGATTTTCACAAACTTAAAGACACAATTAAACAAAATAACACAATAGTCGTAAAATTCCTTATTTGTTTTATTTGTTAATGTACTACTGTGCGCTTTAGGGGGATATCAATTTTGTTGTATTCATTCATTTAATAACAATAAAGGTGTTCAATTCAGTTTTTAAAAAGGTAAAAGGGAATTTCTTTATAGTTTCCATTGCTTCCAATATGTGAGGATTCTTTTAAAGAGTGACCATGATCTTGAACAATAGTTCTCCAGACTTTCTGAAGGTATTTCTAAATTTTCATTTGGACATTGGCTGTTTTTTTTGTTGTTTTTTTCAGTCCAGTCTTTGTACCTGACACATTTCAGAGGAATCTATTTTGGTTGTTAAGCCACTTAACACTGATCTACAAATCATTCAAGCATAATGAAGACACCTACCTCAAATATACACAAATATTAACAGACAACTTAACAAAGAATCAGTTTTAAAGTGTTTCTTCAGGCACCTTCTGTGATTTATGGTTTGGTGATGGTGGCACTGACAAAAAGACAGGAGGCAGAGCTGGAGGTGGCAGAGTTGAAGATGTTAATATTTCACTGGCAGTGACCAGAATGGATAAGATTAGAAATGAGTACATCAGAGAGACAGCTCAGGTTGAGTGATTTACAGACAGTTAGAGAGGCAAGGCAGAATTTTTTTGGACATGTGCACCCTTTGTTCAGTGGATACAGTGAACAAAGGATGTTGAGCATGAATCTATCAGAAAGGAGGAAAAGAGGAAGACCATAGTAACAAAAAAGTCAGAATGAAAGAAAGGAAATGTAAAAAAAAGAAAGAAAGAAAGAAAGAACAAAAACATGGATGTAGGGAAAGAGGATATGAGGTGTGACAGAATGGGACTAGGGAAGATGGAGGCAGATGATCTGCTGTGGTGACCAGTAAAGCAAGCACCCAAAAGAAAAAGGGGAATGCACTTTTTTTTTACTGTCAGATTGTTACAAAAACACATATTTTTTCCCATTTCTTGAGCTCAATTTATGAAAAATGCCAAAGACGACACAGTGTGGAAGGCATTAAATAGTACTTTTTGCACCAACAAGGTGATTCCCAAACAGCTACTAGCTGAAAACTTGGCATATCCATACCTGGCCAGGGTGTACCCTGCGCCAGTCCTATGGGAGCTACCCCTTCGACCCTGATAAGGATGAGCAGCGGAGAATAGATGGATCTGACACAGAATCTGTGAGATGCATCTAGCCCTTCAGTTGATCCATCTACTGTTAGCTGAAGGCTCATCAGAAACGGCCTCGGTGGATGGATGGCTGTAAAGAAGCCAAGAAAGCCAGAGGTATGCTAAATTACACAAGAACTAGACTGGAAATTGGTGACAACAGATATGATGGAGTAATGAATCAATAAATTAATAAATCAATAAATTAAAATTATATTAATAAACTAAAAATTGTTGCTCAAATGATCATCTATATATACAAAGGATTTCAGGAAATAGGCAAACAGTACATCTCTAAAACATGGTGGAAGCTCTGTTATGGTTTGGGTCTGTGTTTTTAGCTTGTGTTTTTTATCTTTTCAAAACTGAACTGACTGAATTACGAATGCAGAAAAGTACCATCACATTTTGATCCACCATGCAATACCATCTGAAAAGCATCTGATTGGAAACAGTTTTTTTTTAGCATGACAGCGACCTTCAACACACTTCAAATGCATATCTGGATAGAAAAACACAAAATAGAACATTATCAGGTATGGACTGGCCTTCCTGAAACACAGACCTCAATCTTATTGAAGCAATGTGTGATCATTTTGACAGAGAGCTGAGGAAAACGAAGCCAACATCCAAAGAAGAGCTTTGAATGTCCTTCAAAAAGCCTGGAGAGCTATTTCCGAAGACTACCTAAAAAAATGGCAAGAAACCTTGCTCATAAGAATTCAGGCTGTGTTGAAGATTAATGGCAGTAATATCAAATATTGCATTCCAAGTCAACTGGAACTATGAAACATATATTTGGTTGTAACATGTTTTAATAAATCACTTCACTTTATTTTAAATAAAAATGAAGGGTGGCTCAAGACTTCTACTGTACTATATATATGTATAGTAGAAGTTAATGTTTTTCATCTGCCTTACCTAGTCTGTATTTGTAAACTAATTCACATATTTCGGTGCTAATGAGTATTTGGAAACATCTTGAGAATGCAAATAAAAAACAAAACAAAAAACTTCTGTGGTATGAGTCTTATTCTGAACCCTTGGAGAGACTCAGTGCAGTAAAAAAATAACAGCACAAAGATGTCATTTTAAGGTGTCTGCATATATAAGACAAAAGAGTGTACTGTATATCAGAACATGCATAAAAATTCTCACCATGGTGTTTGTATGTATAAGAGTGACTTCTCTGTAGGATCTGAGGGACTAAACCGAGAGAAACAGAAAGACTTTTAACCATTAAACTGACATTGACCAACCATCTCATATCTTCTGACATTATCTGTTGAATACAAACCTTTTATTTTTAAAAGGAAAGCCATAATCCCCTTTGGTAAGGAGCAGCAACAAAAGCCAAACTGTGGTAGATTGCTTTCTGGTTTTAATAGAGGGTGCACAATGGCAGAGCTTTATGTGGTCCCTGGCACAGAATTGCCAGCTGCCAGGAGAGATTACCTGTATGTTTCCTGTTTCCAGGAAAATACATTTAAGAGGGTTTTTTTCAGATAACAAAAAAGTTAAATATACCAAACAAAACCAAGTCACTACCTTATAATCGTCTTTTGAGATCTGACGGCAGACACACAAGCTGGTGACATGAGGACTTTCAATCATAATCTTTCTTAGAAGCAGGCATGTTGTAGCTGAATATCTGTCATCTTCTAGGAATTTGTATTACCATTACAATTTCACAATGCTCAAGGGGATGTGTTCTGATTACAGTTCATCATTGAAATATGCAGATGTTACAATGACAAATGAAATAGCAGGAAATATCTCAATAACCCTGGGAAGTATGAGTGCATGGTATCTTTTAGTATAAAAAACTGGGCACTTTATTTAACGGACATTTTTGCCCCTACAAGAAAAAAGAAAAACAAAACTATGATGTAACATCATTTACCAGATTTATATTATCGGTAGCTTAAACTATCGAGGCTCTCATGAGTCTCAGCTGGAGACAGAATTGGATTTGTGGCTTGCTGAGGATGGGCTCTGCTATTTGTGCAGCACTTGCTCGAACAGGATACTCATGCTTTCACACAACACTAAAAAGGTGAGCAGTTTACAAATACAGTTTAATAGAGGATGTTCCAATAGCAAAATAAAAGCCGTGGTTTTTAACTGAAGAAGGGGTTCACCTGCTTCCAGTGCGACTTCAGCAAAGACAATAAATGCTTTGGTCCAACAATAAAGTTGTTTTACTTGCTGCAAGTGCTGCTGGCTTTGTGACCTCTTTATGATTTTTCAAATTAATATTCAAATGAATGTATTGTTGAACTTGAGAGAGGCTTGTGTATTACAGATAACTGTATTTTCTTGCTGCTTTTATATCTTTGCTTTGGAAAGGAAGACCATCAAAAACAGTAACAGTAGTAAATCGGAGGATTGTGAAATGAAAAGAGTTGATGAACAGCTTAAAAGAACCCAGGCCAGTGTGCATATTATCAGAAATGCAAATTTGGCTCTTTACTTGGGGGTCAAGGGAACGGTGCTAAACTGAGTTAATGTGAAAAACAATTTTATGACGCCACAAAAACATAATTTTAAGGCTAGTTTAGATTGATTTTTTTCTTCTGCTTCTGTCCTTGAACTCTCAGAGCTGCACACAGATTGTGTACTCAACAATGGAGACTTAATAAGTTTCTCAACATCTACTGGACACACAAAAAATGTAGAAAAGCAAATAACCCAAAGCAAGGGAATTGTTGCATTGAGCATTTCGAAAATCATGAGCATTTATTTCGAGCACGCAGAACGAAGCAGAAGCGGCCTGCTAAGCTGTCTCAAAGCAACACGAGCATGAGTGAGGCCTGGCCCTCGTGTTGAGTAATGTGGCCTGTTTCACAGAGTCAATGTTCCATTCATCCATGTTTGAGTTCAGGCCAAGGCTTCAGGCAGCCCAGAGAGGTTCTTTCACATTAAACTGGAAATGGTCTTTAGCCATTTTTGTCAGTTACCACTTTAAAACCCTTGCTTTAAAGTTATAGACACTCTACAACTTTCCTTTTATCAAAACTAAAGGACCAAGCTAAAACTTGATGAAACAGCCACAGAGCAAATGTATGAAGAAAATGTTTAAGATAATTCGAAATGGTTTAAACAGAAGAAAATGTAGATGCTGCAGTCAACCCCAGCCCTAAGGACAAGCTGCAAAATAGACCACATTTCACAGTATTTCAAAAGCATGTACTCTTTTGCAATATGTAGTATTATTTAGCTGTAGGCCTCCAGTCATGTTACAGCATTATTATCTTTGGTCGTATTTACTGAATAG